TTGCATCTAAATCCCCGTTGGAAATATTTCGGACAACCAGATTTCTCATTCATGAGAACTTATTGTGAGCATAAGGATTCAGCAGCTTTGGCTACTGAAACCGGAATTCGTTAGTTTGTGTATCACGTGACACGCAATGGTTAACACTAGATCGTTCGCCGGCTAATCAATACAAAGTCAAGTTGCAAAATAAGAGACCAAATCAGAAAAAAAAACAAGAAGTGAAGTGAACGAATTTGCAAAAGGAATATGGCGAGACAGCAGTGCAATCATACATTAATAACAAGTGTGGCATAAGAGTAGGACCGAATAGGCAACGATTCCATTGTAAAATGCATCCAAGGGATTACTAGCAAACAGATTGTATTAACCATTCGAGATTTTTCCTATACCTCGGATTAATCCGCAAGTGTTTTTCGAATGTTGTTGCCGGGTTGCCGGGACAGGGGAAATGCTTCGATTGCAAGCCCAGAGTTACCTCTTCACAGGTTCACTCAGCGAACTACTGGTTCACCTTTTGGGTCATAAAGTCACCTCGATTTTCACTGTGGCAGTGGACGATCCAAGAGGATAATATATTTGAAGGAATAAGAAAATAATATCATGACGGTACAGTACCAATAATTATGAAGAAAACGTTCACTATTTCTGTGATGAATGGAACAGATACAGGTTCAGTTTGATTAGGGCAGATGAACATTGTGAACGTGCTATGGGACGATACGGTTTACTTAGGCAACGTTTGGTTCAGCAACTCAACAGAATACGCATATCAGAAGTGAAAAAACCACAGATGTATTTCTTCCCTCATAAACCACTACCAGTTACTGGGATCAGTGCTGCAATTTTTTGTTTAAGTATTTTCCGGAAAATTAAGTACATTTTGCGGTACACAAATGGTATTTCATATCCTTGGTATGAGTTGAGAATCCCCATTCTGTAACCAATATAAGTTATGTTTTGTAATCTCCCCACTTCCATTCCGTTTTTTTTTGACACCCAAAAACCAACCAAGGTACTCCTCTACCTCCTGGTTGAAATTGGTATTTTATCTACTTCAAAGCAAATGTGACGAAATAAAGTGGTTCCTGACGGGAATGTTATCAGTTTCACCAGACTGTTTTCAGTGGTTGTCGCGCGTCACATCAATCATTTGACTCCGATAACGGTTATCCGCATAAATCTCCAGTTTGATCATGAAAGCAACAGTTCTAGTGAGAAGTGAGTCCATGTTAACCGTGTAAATTACATCAAGAATGAACAAAATTCCTGTGGTTTGTGATGAGCAAACGTAGGAAAAACAATGAAAGTGAGTTATTGCATGTGGTTCACTGATTTGGCGTTCAAACTCACCCTATTTGACATGCTAACTTTCATCACCCTTCCCGAAAAATTCAATTAAAAAAATCTAGCAAGCTTTTAGGGTGACTACATAATTTTGTTTTGAAAATTTACGATATTTGTACTACCAGATCCCAAATCATTTCACACAGATACATTTTTGTCTTTGGTACATCGTGGTGTGATATCTACAGGTTCTACGAGATGAGTTCTGAGCCGGAGGTGTCACAATGACAGTGTATTGAAATTTTGTTTGAATCCTAAAGCCACTGCATCTATGACATTTTTAAACAAGGTTGGTCTTACGATACTGTCTAATGAAAATTCAAATAACTTTTTCTGGTAGTGGATATGCCATAAATAATCTGTGTTGCTATTGATTATTCACTGAAAATGATCTTTGTGTGAGGTTATTAAGGCTATAATTTAGTACGTTAATACGATGGTAAAAAATCGATGAAGAGTCGTTCTGTTGATGGCGTGAAGTACGAGAGGGAAACATCTGACAAACTCAAAAGATCAAGTGTTTACGCAGCTCTAGTGACAACTGAATCGAATGTTAGTAATCCTATGATTTAGACAGCCTCAGTTTGGGTCATTGTGCTCTTTCCATTGAGATGCAACAAAAATAAATCCACGTAACTTTAGCCTGAGGGTCTTTTCAGTACA